AGTCTGCAAGGGTGTTGGAGGCCTGATAGGATCTGGCCTGCTAGGAAGTGGAGGGTGGGGTGGGTAAGAAAGGCTTCCACCGTGATAGGGTTGTGCCTTTACTAGCCAGGAGCCAAAATATCCCCTGCTGTGCTCCCCAGAATAACTTTACAGCCCAGACCCTGCCAGAGAAGCTCTGACCAGCTTTATGCCAACCCAGGCTGCTAGGCAGTCTGAGCCCTGGGTGCCCGCACAGCTGGCACAGCACTCTTATCTGCACAGCTTCTCTTGTCTGCCCGGGGCTAACTCCCTAGGGCTTACAGGTGGTCCATACCACTGGGCTGACGAACCCTGCCAGAGCCCAACTGGAGTTCCTGGAGACAATGCTCTCAGATAGCTCTGGGACAGAAAGCAGGTTTTTTAAACCATTGCCTAAAACAGAAAAGAAAACGTATTCCCTAAAGGACTGGGCTGCAGAGCAAGTAGAAGCCAGCCTCAGACACTAACCCTTTCCTTGTCAGCCCTCACAGGCCCAGCCATGCCCTCACCCCACCGAAGTGCTCCCTGGGGAAGGCTTACTCCCCTTGCTAAGTGCTGGCCTTAAAGAAACCCGGCCACTGATCCCCACCAGCCTAGAACTTGCTCCACAGTTGTTTCGCCCTTGGAGCCCCAGGTGGCTGGTGGGCTCCACCAAAGAGGACCCCACTCTGCAGCCAGCCTGGAGCTGCCTACCTCTGGCCTCGGGCTGTGGGCAGCAAGAAGAATGTGTGCCCTTGGCAAGCCACCTGCCCATCCTGTCCACATCTGAGAAGTGCAATCATTGAGTCTATGTCGTCTAGAGGGAGGGGTTTTGTTTTTTGTTTGTTTCTTTTTCCTCTCAGAGTAACCCTATTTATAGCTGCCCAGGAGAGAAGAGTGTGCTGGGAGTGGAAGCCTCTCAGTTTGGCTCTCCCAAGCCTTGAGCACTGGAGCATCTCTGCCTGAGGCCGCCCAGAACTTCAGGGCCCTCAGCTGTGCGGAGCCAGGGCAATCCCTCGGAGGTGCCGAAAGTGGAGGAGAGTAATTCTGGTAACTTGGTGAAGCAGGAAGGAGAGGGGCTGTTGACTAAGCTGACCCTGCCGTCCTTGTGCGTCTCTGTGGCTCATGGTTACAGATGCAGATGGAACTGGTCGGTGAGCCACTGCAGGTAGGGTACCCTCTGGCCTTTCACAGCCTTCATGTTTCCCCTGACACGCACATGGAAGAGCATCAGGACAAACTCTAAGGATGGACCAGAGAAGGCGGAGCAGCCTTGGATAGGACAGTTCTCCATGTATGAAGCTGCTGAAAGGGCAAGAACCAGATGTGTGCTGACACTGGCCACCTGCCTCTTAAGAGTTGACGTCCAGCCTGTTTCAACTACTGTCTTCCAAAAGGAGGAAGAAGAAGTCCAAGCCCAGTCCCTGCACATGCTCCACCTTTAACCCGACTGTTGCTGTAAAGTCTCTAGTTTGCTCCTTCTAGGGCCCCCAAGGCTGTAGTCCTAGACAGTCACTAGCCACCAACTAACTCCTCAGGTCCAGCTCTAGGTGACTGCCAAGAGATTCAACGATTCAACACTAAATAATCTGGCCCCCAGCCACACCAGCCAAACTGCCAATGGCAACCAAAGCCAGTTTCCTGGATATCTGTTAGCCAACACCGTGGGGTGGGGTAGGGGTCTGCCGTCTGTCTGTCTGTCTGTCTGTCTGAGAGCTATTGTAAAGCTGCCAGATGGCTTCATACAAGGGTGAGTGGGCATTTGATGGCAGTGTCTGCTTCCTCAGAAGTGCCACAGAACGGCTGGAATCAACTCTGACCATCCTACTAGAAGCCAGGAAAACTTGTGAGTCCTCTCTCCCTGCCAATGTGCCCAGCTCCTAGAGAGCCACACAGTGAGAGTGCCTCCCGAAGTTGGCCATTAGGATATGGTTTCTCCTTGCTCCCTTTCCTGTCATACCATGCATGTGTCTACTTCCTCTGGTCATTTATTGAATGGCCGGTGGGAGCTCATGAGTTTCATGGTACAGAGAGAAGAGGTGACTAGACCTAGCTGACATCAAGACAGACGGAGGAAATCGAGCGAGGACTGGCTACTACCAACCAAGTCGGCAGTTAGGAGTCCAGGTGGAGCTACTGCTGAACTTTCAAAGGAAACTGGCCCTGGGGCACCTAGCCTGGGGCTCGGTCGGTGGGACAAGGATAACAACTCAGGGACTTTCTAGGACTGCACAGGTTAGGTGAGGTCTCTAGGAGGAAGTGGGGGGGATGGGAAGATGGTGTGAATAGAGCCTTCGTGAACTGACCCAGGAGCTTCTCAGCTGCGGTGCCCACGGACTACATAACCATGGCACCTCATTCATCTCAGCACAGACCTGCCCTGATCTGAGTTCCAACGTGGGGCGTCGTTTCCTTGAGGGCTCCAAGCACCAATCTCAAGAAGGTACTTAGGTCCTCAGCAGCACAGTGGTGCCTCAGCCCTCTGCCTCTGTATTGTCAGGCCAGCCAGTCCCTAACCCGGGGGTAATTCTCAGAATTAAGAGAAAACTGCCCAGAGCCTGGACTTTCGCTGCCCATCCTAAGCCTTTAGGAATGCCCGGAGAATTGCCACCAAGCTACCCATACTCCCATTTCCCCAAATATGGCGGCGGAGAAGACTCTGATTTGTTGCTTCAAGTTCAGGGGTACGGCTGGCTTTTGGTTCTTACAATTCTTTGTGAATCCGATTCTCCAGATGCATGCAGAGGAGAGTCTGATGGGCTAGGACGTTGTAGCTCAATATGTCAGAAAAGGTTAGGGAGCATTCAAGGACTGGTATTTGCTGCTGTGCCTCCAAACGACAGTCTCAAGACGGGAGTGTAGGCCAAGCGTAACTGACTCCAAGCAGAAGATTTAGCCTGCCTGGTTTCTTTCTCAAGCCCAGGAAACCTTTACATTGGATCCCGTCTCCAGGGTAGAACAGCCATTATTCGGACTAGGAATCTTTTAAGAATTAGAGGGAGCAGAAACGCTGGTTCATGCTGGCAGCTCACCAACACAAAACAAATGGCAAGCCTTTGGACAAGCTACAAATTTTCAAATTTTGGTCTTGGTGAGCTGGCATTTCAGAGAATAATTATCACATGGAAGGCTTTTTTTTTTCTCGCAGAAGAGACCCTCAAAATACTGTATTTATAGCTGCCTTCCGCTGCTGCGCTACAGCAAGCATCTCACGGTCGACAACAACAGCAAACGGTGTGGTTCATAGAGTATTTTGCACTTGGGGAAAATATGTATCTGAACTTGTAAAAAAGGAATGTTTGGATTTTGTATTGTCTTTTTTATATTATTAAAATACTAAACGGAGCCCTTCAGGCTGGCATGCTTCTCTTCTACAGCTGGGAAGGAAGCATAAAGTAAAAGTACTGACTCCCAGACCAGGCTGGCTCCTTCCTCCCCCAGCATCTTATTCCCAATGACTTTGTATTCGGAAACTCTTGTCCCTGTCTACCTCTAAAAGCAGTCTCAGGAATTGTCCCTTGCTGACTGTGGTACAACACGACCTTAATCCCAGTGTTCAGGAGGCAGAGACAGGAGGATCTCTTTGCGTCCAGCCTGATCTACATAGTGAGTTTCAGGCTAGCCAGGGATACATAATGGAACGCAGTCTAAAAGGGGGGGGGGGGCGTTGAGTAGCTACGTAAAGGATTGTGTTCTCCAGGGCTGTGGTGATGGCGCAGTTGAGAGCACTTGCTGCTCTTCTGTAGGACCTAAGCTCAGTTCCCAGCACCCACATCAGGTGGCTCTTTACTGCCTAGAATTTCAGCTCTAGGGAATCTGATGCCCTCCACAGAGACTTCAGGATTAACAGGCACATGCCAAGGATCCGCCCCCTCAATCTATGTATCTTTTAAACTGGAAGCTCATTCCCTTTTTCATTTTCTCTCAGGTTTCAGGAAATAACCCTAAACCACAATTTCTTCCTGATGGGAGAGGAAATGATAATTTTTAAAGTCTAGGTGCCAGCTGTGAAACGGGCAAGAGAATCACAAATTCAAGGCCACCTTGTGACATATAACGAGTCTGCGTCGAAAAAAGAAAAGAAAAAGGGGGCAGGCACTTCTGATCCTGTTCTTCACAGTGCTAGCTTACCAGGAGGTGCGGTTGGCTTAGGAGCAATGGGTGGGCGCCCGAGAACCTGAGAAGGACTGACAGGGTGCTGTACCTCAGTGTCCATCCACCAGAACGTCACCTCTCAGGGAAGGCAGGATTGAGGGAGCACCATTCCTCAGCAAGGGCTGTCAGGGCGGCTTTCCTCACGGAGTACGATGTCTCGGGGAGAATCATCCCTCTAGGAGAACGCCAGGGCCCTTCTTCCTCTGGAGACAGGTACACCATACCTCACAAACGCGCATGATCCCCAAGGCACTGTCCGCCAGAACACGGGACACGGCGGGACTGCAGGGAGGATGGTCCCTCAGGACGCTGTCCTCCAGGGCATCTTCCCTCAGAGCGCTGAGGAGCAGCGTCCCTCGGGGTGTCATCCCTCGGGGCGCCGTCCGACGGAGCGCGGGGAGGACCGGTCCTCGGAGCCCCGTGCCCTCGAGGCTCCTCGGCACCGTCCTTCTCGGTAACCGCCTACCGGTACCTGCCGCAGCTTCCTCCGGGAACCGGTTCCTGCAGCGCTGCCTCCCGCCGCAGCTCGCCGCAGCCCGCCGCAGAGCACTACCCATTGCTATGGCGACCGCGGCCTCCACCCGGCGTCGTGACGTCATCACGCCCTCCCCGGACGCCCCGGCTGGCGAGGCCGCGTCACCCGGCGGCCAGCAGTGAGGGAAGCCGGGGCGGAGCTCTGAGGCTCGCCGGAGGCCCGGGAACCGGGATAAACAGGCCGGCCGGCGCCGCAGAGGGGGGCGGG